CCCTCCTTCCTTCCTTCCTTCCTCCCTCCCCTTCCCTTCCCTTCCCTTCCCTTCCCTTCCTTCTTCCCTTCCTAAGAATGTACATTTTGTACTAACTCAGGAGAAGCTCACCAGGACAACATCCAACGGGTATAGTTGAACGAACAACTACTACGGAGGAGGTTGTGTGGGTGTGTAGGTCTGACAGCTACTTAGGAGATACTTCTGAGCCAGGCAGCCGCCAAATATTATTGCATTCAGCGCCTTTGTTTTGTGGAGAATCCTACAATCTCCCAACTCACAAATCTTTTGGTTTAGGCCTTGAAAAGAGCAAAAAAACAAACTTTTTCCCCTCCCCCAAGCAGTTACAACTCCTTTCCCTTTGTCCCAGATGCTGGAGTGGAGGAAAGTTTTCCTCCCCCTTGTAAGGCACACAACCAACCCTTGGGGAAAGCACGCCTAGGGCCTATTGTTTCAGGAACTCTCTGCCCAAGGATGATGGGTTAGGGAGACAAACTCCCCAAAGAACCCCCCTTACCACCCCCTCAATCCCCCAACCCTGCATCGCCTAACTTTGCAACTGGCGGATGCTGGAAACAATGGGACCTCGGAGAAGAGAAAAGGAGGCTGTGAAGACCGGGAAAGAATGATTCCCCCCCCCCCTTCCCGGTTTCCTTCCCTCCCGCTTGGAAAGACCCCGCCCGGGTTCTCCTTTGGGTCCGGCTCGCCTCCTCTCCCTCCACCGAGGGATCCCCGTTCCCCGCATACACACACACGACCAACCGGGCGAGACTCACGGAGCAGGAGGAGCAGGAGCGCCGGCCGCCAAAGCGCCATGATGCCGAGGGACTCGGGGCGTCCGTTCTGGCCGGGCCGAGCTTGCGCATTCCCCGCCTGGCTTGATCCCAGCGCCGGGTGGGAGGAGAGACGGGGAGAGAGAGAGAGAGAGAGAGGAGAGGAGAGAGAAAGAGGGACGGCGCGGAGCAGGCGGGGAAAGGAAGCCGGGGAGAGCCGGTTGCTAGGCGACCCGAGATGCTGGGCTCTGTTGCCCCAGCAACCGCATCCCCGGCCTGCGCGGCTGGGATGGGACCGCCGGGAAAGGATGCGGGGAGGGAGAGAGGGCGGCGCGGGACCCAGCGCAATTTAAAAGCTCGATGAAGGAAGGAAGGAAGGAAGGAAGGAAGGAAGGAAGGGGTGGGGCGGGAATCTGTTCTATTTGGGATCTCATCTTGGTTCCACCACCCCTCCTACCAAAAATGGACATGAAGCTTAATAATGTTGTTGTTGTTGTTGTTGTTGATGATGATGATGATAATAATAATGATAATAATGATGATAATAATGATAATAATGATAATAATAATTAACAGACTGATTATAAATTGTGGCACAATTCAGTAGCACAAATGATCCATTGGAATTTGTGCAAAAATTATAATATTAAAACAGCAACAAACTGGTGGGAACATCAGCCTGAAAAAGTCACCGAAAATCAGATGGTCAAGATCTTGTGGGATTTCCGTTCAAAATACACCAGACATCACACTGGTTGAGAAAAATAAGGTCACAATCATAGACATCGCAATACCAGGTGATGTCTGGTGTATTATGCGCCAGTATTTTGTCTGTTTGTATATGGAAATCCCACAAGATCTTGACCATCTGATTTTCGGTGACTTTTTCCGGCTGATGTTCCCACCAGTTTGTTGTTGTTTTAATATTATAATTTTTGCACAAATTCCAGTGGATCATTTGTGCTACTGAATTGTGCCACAATTTATAATTGTTGTTGTTGTTGTTGTTGTTGTTGTTGTTG